GCGCAGGGGGAAATTTAGCGGGGAGGGGAGCCTGCCGGCGAGGGAACAGGCGCCCACCCCTGAGCCCCTTTGAGGACATGGCCCCTGCTGTTCTCCCCCTCCGCCATCATCACGTTTCCCTCTGCTGTGTCACTCCCCTCACAGGCAAAAGCTGCTGTAAGAATCTAGTGTTCTCTCCTGACCCCACTTCCCTCCCCACTAAGGCTCTTTTATTCTCCTCCCCTTGAGAGTAAAATTCCTCGAAGGAGTTATCTGTGGCCCTGTCTCGACTTGCTTTCCCCCATTCTCTCCTGAACCCACTCCAGTCAGGCTCTTGTTCCCCCCAGTCCTTTGAATGACTTCCCTCTTCTCAACGTCTCCAATAACCTACAGTTATCAAATCAGTGGTGCTCCCTCGGCGTTCCTCTGACCGCCTGGGGGCACGGCAGGTGCACTTCCTCTTCCCCTGGCTTCGTGCTCCCCTCCCCCCCAACTGCTCCTTCTCCACCTCCCATGGAGACTTGTCATCGGCCTCCCAGCCTGGCCTTTGGATCTTTCTGCTCCACACTCACTCTGAGACTTCATCCTGCCCTGTGGCTTTCAATAACCCCTACATGCCAAGGACTCCCAAATTATATGTCCAGCCCTGACCTCTGCCAAAAAGCTCCAGACTCTCAGATCCAACCACCTGCCCAATCTCTACTTGCATGCCTACTGGAGCTCTCAAATCGTCATGTCCCAATTTAAACTTGTGATTTCTCACCTCCCTCACTCCTCCCTCACCTCAATAAATGGCTGCACTATTTGTCATCCTGGCCCAGTAAAAACTATGAAGTGATCCTTCCTTTTCCTTCTCTGTCATACTCTCGATTCTGCAAATGCCGCCTTCAGGCCATGTTCCACCTGTGATCACCGCTGCCGCTGGTGTTGCTGCCACTCATCTGGTGCCTGGAAACCCTAATAGTCTCCTAACAGATCTCTCTGCTTCTACCCTTGTCCACTCCAGAATTTTCTCCCCGTGGCAACCAAAGTGGTATTTTTAAAGCAAAAATGATACCACATCACTCTTAGCTTTTAGCATTCCTAAAATGTTGCACCTAAAATAAAACTAAAGGCCTTAAGATGCACGTGACGTTAATAAACTGGTTCAGCCTCCCACCACTGCCCTCCTTGGTTACTTCACTCCAGCCACCCTGTTCCTCAAACATGCCAAGCACCTGGCTGCCTGGGACCTTCTGCCTGAAACACTTCTGCCCAGGTGTCCAAACGGCAGGCGCTGTCACTTTGCTCAGGCCTCTCTGCTCAGATGCGGCCTCTGAGGGGCCTTCCTTGCTCGGGTTGTCTAAAATGGCAGCCCCTGACGCCTCACCTGCGTCATGCACTAGTCCCTTATCCTGCTTTCTTTTCCTCCATGGCACTTACTTCCATATGACATTTATTAAGTATTTGTTTCTTCATTGCCCTTTGTCCCCATTAGAATGTCAGTCCCAGGGTAGCAAGGGGCTCCTCTGTCTTGTGTACCATTTCCCCAGTGCCTTCACACCGTGAGGATGAAGGAAGAATTGAGAAAGTGAAACAGCAAATGAGCAAAGGAAGAAAGGGCGGCCTGGGGGTCCTGGCAATCCTCCAGCAGACGGGACCCCAGCAGCCAGTTGCTTGAGCCTGTTGTGCAAGCAAGGCTCAGGCCTAGAGGAAGCCACCCCAGCTCCCAGCACAGGTGCCCCTGGGTAGAAACAGGTCCTGGGCTAGGACGCAGTGCCCCCTGGTGGCCAGGACACTTGCAGCTCCAAAGCAAGGCCCCTAGAGTCCTGGAGGTTTCCAAACACTTTGTCTTCCATCCTGGTTGGAACCTCAGAACAACAGCCATGAAACAAAGACGCTTAGATTTTTACTAACGGAAAGGATGCCAGACTGGGTACCCAGAGTCCTGGGTTCTAGTCCTGGCCATGTCCTTGACTCTGTGGGTAACCTGCGGTTGAACTGGAGTTTGCTCTGCTGGCAAGGGCAGGCTTGCACTCTGGAGCAGAGTGGTCCCTGCTGCAGCCCCCCTTAATGGGAGCCCCCCCGCAGCTTGCTCTACGGCAGGCCGCCTGATTGCTCCCGAGAGCACCTTATTATCAGGAGGAGCATCCACAGTGGGGCCGAAATCTGCCCGCCCCCCAACTGTGGCTTCACTATCCTTCCGGGCTGCCCCCTGTGGCCACAGACACCCTGGGACAGCACTGCACAGATCACCTGTCCCTCATCCTCCCTTCACACGTGACATTTGGAGATGCATGTTAGACACCCAGAATCTAGCACCCGGTTGCACTTAAATCCAGAGCTCCTGGGAGAGGCCAGCGGTGATGAAGTGCCTTTGCTCTGTGAGATGGAGAGACAGGATCGGCTCACTTAGGGCCACGGTTCTCAACCTGGACACGCACTGTCATCGCCTGGGCAAGCACGGCAATGGCCCTGCCAGACTGAAGCCCCAGCCCCTGGGTGTGGGCCCAGGCCTGGGCATTTTTCAAGGACTCCCAGGGGATTCCGTGTGCAGCCAGGGCGGAGCTACACTGACTCTGAGGCCAGAGCCCAGGCAGCACTCGGGCAGAGGACGGCTGTCAAGGAGGGCTGCCGAGTGCAGCTGAGAAGTTGGGAGCGTCCAAGTCACAAGGAGAGTCTGGGTTGCTTTTATTTTGGAGAACATGGAGGTTGGCGACCCCGATAACAGCAATGTGGTGGAGTGGTGGGCACCCCTGGGAGACTGGAGCTGGTGGAAGGGCGAATGGGAAGTGAGAGTGGAAAGGAGAGGAAATCAACTCTTTTGACTTCTTTTTCCATGACGAGGAACAGAGAAGTGGGGAGGATTTGAAGTCAAAGAAAGGTTTCTTTTACAGATGTGTGGCTGGAAATGATGATGATGAAAACGATGAGATTAATGGGTCGAGGAGAGAGGGGACAGCTCAGAACCATTTGCTGAACTGTGAGGTGGGAGGAGCCGGGGCCAGAGCACCCGCCTTGGGAACAGGAAGTAGGTCAGGAAGGAGCCCGTGCAGATGCTGGTGCACTTGTAGGTGAGGTGGTGGGAGGTGGAGGGTGTTCACCTCTTTTTTTAGAGAGAGGGGAAGGGAGGGAGAAAGAGCAGGAGAGAAACATCACTGTGTGGTTGCCTCTCATGCGCCCCTGCTGGGGGCCTGGACTGCAACCCAGGCCTGTGCCCTGACTGGCAATTGAACCAGTGACCTTTTGGTTTGCAGGCCGGTGCTCAATCCACTGAGCCACACCAGCCAAGGCTAAGTGAACATTTTTTTCTATTATTTTTAAAATTTTTCAATTACAGTTGACAGTCGATGTTATATGAGTGGAGGTGTGTGGAGGGTGCCCACCTCTGTCAGGTGTCTATCTGCAAGGTAAGAATGGACAGGGAGGTGGGGGGAGGTGTGAAGGTCGCGGTGAGGGGAAATCAGCTGCCTGGGACGCAGGCTGTCTGCGCAGCCGGAGAGCCTGCCCACGTGAGGCTTGAGATCGCTCTGGTAAAAACAGCGCAATCGGCCTGGTTACATGAATTTCTCTGGCCGTGGGAAGCTGCCAGATACAGAGGAAAGTCAGGTCCACCCAAGGCTGGAGCCTTTCTGGACAAACACGATGGAAGGAGAGAGGAGTGCGAGGGGGTGGAGCACAGAATCTAACTGGGACAAGGACAGCAGAGTGGACAGCAGCCATGCAGATAGCGATGGAGGGTCACTCCAGTTCCGGGCAGCTGGGGACGAGCCGCATTGCCACGCCAAAGGAAGTGGGCCAGGAAGAGGGAAGGAGGGGGCCAGAGGCAGATGCTTGGAAATAAGATTGTGTCACTCTGAAGTGACGATGGAGCGTCACCACCATGGAGACAAAGTTCAGGGTGTGCCAAGGGTGTGGTGCACTGAGGCAGAGTTGTGGTCTGGGGGCCAGGAGGCCAGTTCCCCAGGTCATGTTCTTGTGTACTGGGAGGCCCCAGGGGTGGTGACAGGAAGCCGCACGAGGGGAGGACAGTACAGAAGGCACTGAAGTCTTCCTGAGACATGTTTACCTCCCTCTGGGGTGGAGGCTCCTGGGACACAGCAATGTCACCAGTGCCTGGCGCAGAGGAGGCACGAGGTGAAACGCGCAGCGAAACACGAACGAGTGCATGCCTGCTGCATAATTTGCTCTCAAGCCTGGGCAGTTGAGGGAACCGAGGCCACTCTTCCCCAGAGTGTCCACGCACTCGGGCGTCTCAGCAGGTGCAGGGCTTTGGGGAATGCACGTGCGTTGAGTCCCTTGCACCCGCCCCTCCAGCCACCCCATCACCTTCTCCCCGCCCCCATCCACCTCTCCTCAGCCCAGGCCTCCCAGGCTCCAGCTGGGCTCCCTCAAATTTGGCCTCCCCTCCGCTCCTTCCAGAGTCTGAATGTCCCTCTGCTGAGGGTGACACCAAGATCTTTGCAGGACAGTCAGGCTTCTCAGGCTCAGCCACTAACTCCCCTCCGCCCCTTGGAGCCCTCTATGTCCACGCTCTTCCCTTCCCCTCTGTGCCTTGTGCGCTCACTCTTGGCCTGGAAGCCCTAGGGCTCCCCGCCCGCCTGGTACAGGCTTGCCTGCCCTTCGAGATCCATGCAGAGAGCACCTCCCTCCTCCTCTGCCCACTGTCCGGCGCGGGTGCACACGGGGCCACGCTGTCTGCATCCTGGCCGCTCGCTGGCGTGGACTTGAGACCGCTGGGAGCAGAGGTCAGGTCCAGGTCAGCCACGCCCCCAGAGCCCAGCAGAGGACACTGGCGTCTGCTGCAATACCTGTGAGGCAGGGTCTGTGTGCCTGTGAGGGCCCCAGGCGCCACTGCAGGGGCTGAGGTGTGGCGCGGCCGAGAGCCACAAGGCAGGGTGGAGCAGGGAGCTAGAGGCTTTATTCTCAGCCGACCTGTACACTGTACACTGGGGGGGGGGGGGGGGGGGGGGCAGGGCACGGGGAGGCTGCCGCACAACATCTGCCTTGTCCCTGAGGCCAGAGCGGATACGGGGCCCTGTCCCTGGACACCTGTTGTTTGCTCATCCCCTTGTCCCAAGCCACAGGGCCACAATAGGCAGTGTTCAGGGCCGGTCGCAGGGGGCGGGGCCCTTCTTCCGCTCACGGCTCAGCAGCGTCACCAGCTTGGCCTTGAAGCCTGCCTGGCGGCCAGAGACCCCTGCCTCGTCACCATTGTTGCCGAGCTCCAGCTCCAGCAGCCGCCTGTACTGTGCCTCCAGGCTGCTGTCATGGGCCGGGCCGGGCCAGCCCAGGTCCTCGCTGTTGTGGTAGATGGGGCTGGCCGGTGGGCTGCAGGCACCGGGGCTCTCCTTTGCAGGGCACCCCAAGTCGGGTGGTGCAGAGCCAGCTTCCAGGGCACACAGGTTCTCATAGAGGTGCTCGGCGGCGACCGGGGGTCCGCTGGCCCGCTTGCACACGGCCGCGTACAGCCCAGCCTCCACAGGCAGCAGCGGCAGGCTCTGGGGCCCAGGCTCGGCCAGGCGCACCCGGCGGGAGCCTGAAGGCTCAGGCCCGGGGGGCAACTCCCGCAGCTCTGCAGGGGGGTCCAGCGAGGGCAGGGAGGTGGCCCGAGGCAGGGGGCAGGGCCGGGACCCCACCAGCTCAGGCAGCCGCTCCCTCTGGCGCGCGATGGCAGCCGCCACGACCCCGCACAGGTCTCGAGCTCGGGGGCTGCTGAAGGCGAAGAAGCCCTCGCCTGAGTCACAGCGGCGGCCAGCTTCGAAGGAGAACAAGTCCTGGTAATGGGCGACACGGGTGGGTCAGCGGCCAGGGGTCCCCTGCTTCCCAGTGTCCCCTGTGACCACTAGGGCAGGCTCGGTGCCTCACCTTGTCGGAGCCAAACTTGCGCAAGAAGTGGTAGGGCCAGGTGTAGAGGGCCAGCGAGCTGGCTGGCTCGCTCAGCTGGATGGCGTCTTGGGTCAGCAGCAGGACATAAGACCCCTTCAGCTGGCAGCGGGCAGCTGCCTCTGTCCTCTGCACCACCACCGGGAATTTGTCCACTGCAAGCAGAGGGCGTGGCCGCCATGGTCCCCAAGAGGCCCAGCCCCGGTGTGGCAGGGCGGAGCCTTTCCCTGCACCTCCCCCACTCACCTTCCTGCAAGGAGGAGTAGATGGAGTTCTCTTCCATGGGGACCGGGCTCCGCTTGGGAGCCTCCGCCTCCCCTGCGCCGGTGACACATTCCCCCCCTGTGCCCTGAGGAACGGGTTAAGGTCACAGGTTAGAGTCCCCCCACCAAACCTCTTCCTGCATCTTTTTCATGGGGAGAGATGTCACCCGGGACTCTGACAAGTAGAACTGGGGACCTGGTACCAGTCCCAGCTCTGTCCTGACACACTGCACAACCCTGGGCACCCCTCTGAGCCGATCTCCCCACCCTGCATCCTTACCCTTCCCCCTGGAGGGTGCTGAGAGCCGCAAAGCAGGGACACACGACAGCACGGCCCTCTCACCCTGGTACTAGGCCAAAGACCAGGCCAGCCCTTGGGTGACCTCCATAGCTTAGAGCAGCGAAGGCGCAGGGGCTTCAGGGGTAAGACAAGTCGCCTGGCCACCCATCCTGGCACCATCTCACCCCTCCCTGCCCCGAGCACCCTCACGTCCTTCAGGCCGACTCTCAGCACCTCCACCGCGACCGCCCCGCTCCAGCCCACAGCAGCATGGCTGGCGCCAAATGCCGCAGGTCCCTCACTGGTCTCCTTTCTCCTGTTAATTCCCTTTTCTTTTTAAAACAATTTTTAATTAATAATTTTAAATTAAAAAAATAAATATATAATGTAGAATTTACCATTTTAAAGTGTACAATTCAGAGGGTTCTTTTTAGTAAAGTCGCAAGGTTATGCGACCATCACCTTTAACTAGTTCCAGAACCATTCGTCTCTCTGCATGGAAACCCGTACCCACGCCCCATTCCTCCCTGCCCCCAGCCTGCTCCCCGTTGCTATGGGCCTGCCTATTCTGGGTATTTCACGTGAATGGAATCACACACTAGGTGGCCTTTCGTGTCTGGCTTCTTTCGCTTCGAGTAATGTTTCCGCGGTTCATCCGCAGTGCCATGTAGCGTGTCAGCGCTGCATTCCTTTTTATGGCTGAATAACGTTTCATTGTATGGACAGACCATATCTAGTTTATCTATCACTGGCTGCCGGGCACTTGGATTGTTTGTACCTATCGGCTATTGGAAATAGTGCTGCTCTGAACATTCCTGCACAGGTTTTGTTTAAACATCTGTTTCCATTCTCTTGAGAACTGCTGGGTCATATGATAACTTTTTCGCTCACAGAGGAACCCACCAGACTTATTTCCTTTTGGCCCATCACAGACCCTGCTAAGCTTGAAAGCTCAGTCCCCTGGCTCAGAACCTCAAGGTTTCTCCCGTCACTCAGAACAAAACCCCGAACCCCACACGCGGCCCAGGCTGGTTGCAGCCACTCCCACCGAACCCTCTGCCTCGGCCTCCCCCGGGCCCTCCCGCCCCGCGCCCTCTGCCACGCCACACTTCTCCGCGCCTCGGGGCCTCTGCTCACGCTGCCCCTGCCCTGTCCGGGGCTCCTCGGGCCTCCGCCTGAGACACTCTCCTCAAATGTTTGCCTGCTGGGCTGTCCTTGAGGACTCAGGCCTCCTGCCCCTCCTGAGAGGCCTTTTGGGCCGTTCTGCCTGACGTCCCCTGGGTCACTCCTGGGCCCGCCCTGGCCTTTCATTTTCTCCACAGCATGTATGGCCACCCACGATTTGTTCTGTGGTTTCTCGGCTGTTTCCCAGGCTCCTCGGTTCCTGGCAGGTGCTTGCCGAGTGACGGGATGTGAGTGAATATGGGGCGGGTTGGGTGGGGGCGAGGCAGCGCCCGGCCAGCCCCTGGACGCCCGCTTGCCCCATGCTCACCGGGAAGGCCAGCTGGCAGATGGGGCCCATCCACGCCTGGCGGTGCTGTGCAGCCAGCAGGTGGCTCCGCTCGGTGGTGGTGAGCAGGAAGGCACCGGTGTCCCGGGGGCAGCTCTCGCAGTCGACCGGCAGCACGGACACGCAGTCGGCCAGGCGGATGACCCGCGGCTCCCCGCGGCGGCTGGGGCCCGCAGGCCTGTCGCCCGACGGCCCCGGGCCGCCGTCCCGGACCTCCCAGCTCTCCAGCCGGGCCACACCTGATGGGCCCCCTGCGTACAGAAGACCCCACACCTTCCGCCAGGACTTCTGCGGGAGATGAGGGTGGGGGTGAAGACCCGCGCTGCAGCAGGGCTCAGGCCGGCCTCTACCCCCTAAGCCCTCAGGACCTTGGAGAAGGAGGCCTCACAGCAGCCAGCCAGGCAGGGGCTCGAGAGCCCTGCGTGTAAACCCACCCCACCTTTTCCTGACTGGTACCCCCATAAGCACGAGTGTCCCGGGCTCTCAAACAGGCAGGACAACGTGAGATCGGTGCTCCACTGGATTACGTCTGTACACGGCCCACTGGCTGGAACAGACGCCCTGACATTGCTGTTATGTTGGTGCCCCTCCCCGCTAAAGGTCACTTGGGCCACAGAACTAGGACTGTGGTGGGAGGGAGGCCTTATTCTCATGATAGCAAGGAAGGAAACATGCAAATAGCGTCAAGCAAAGGAAACGGACCGTTTATCTGCCTGGCCAGCAGCTGCAGCTGAGCTGCAGGGGTGCGGGGGTGCAGGGCTGCAGGGCCGGCAGCCTGAGGAGGGCGAACCTCGCTGTGTCCCGTGACAGGCCGGGAGGAGCCAGGCCTCTGCTGCTCGGCAGGGCTCTGCCTCCGGGGGCCCCTCCAGCGTGGTCCCAGCCCTCACGGGACTCGCCAGACCTTCCAGCTCTGCCCACCCCACCATTGGGACCCTCTCCCCGGCTCACGGCTTCCCCATCTAAAAATGAGGCCTGGTCTCCCCAAGCCCCATCGAGGCTCAGCCCACCCGCCCAAGCTGAGGATGGGGCTCTGTCCCACCCCCACACCTGAGGTGGATCCCCCACCCTGACCCCCACCCCCAGCCTCCCAGGGGGCTGCCTGAGGCTGGGGCGGAGGCCCACAGATTATCCTGGGCAGCCAGGGTCCCCACCTTGCCGAACTTCACGTGCTGCTGGTAGAGGATGCCGTCCTTGATGGGGGTCTCCAGAGGCTCCATGGCCACGGCGGGCCCGGGGCCGCCACTCCAAGGGCCTGAGGAGACTGGTGACGGCTGAGGGGAACTCCTCACACTTCCCCTTCTGGCCACTTCCCCTCCCTCTCTCCAGAGAGGCAGCTTCGTGACTGGGGGAGGGGAGCCCCTTCTTCGGGGAGGGAGCTAGGTTAGGGGTGGGGGCACCCCTTATTTCTTCCCTCAGGTTCCCACAGGCCATGTGGCCACCCAGGCCCCGCGGGGCCTCTGACCACCCGGGGGCAAGCGCCCCGCCCTGCAGCTGGGTCAGGCGGGAGTGGGGTGAGCTTTTGACCTGCAGGCCGTCCCTGCAGGCCCAGCCCGCCTTGTCTCCCCCAGGGGGCAGCTGTGCGCTCCGGGCAGGCCGGGTTCCGCACCGCCAGGCTGGCAAACTCCTTGCTTTCCAACCTGCAGCCCCGCGGGATCAGCTGGAACTTGTCTCGGAGCATTTCTAACACTTGCTCTCTCTTCCTTCCTTCGCAGCCCCTGTCCAGCGCCAGCCAGCTGGTGCGCCTCCCCTTTGAACCAGACCCCCGGCCCCCCACCCCCTCCTCAGCATTTCCTGGCTCCCCACTGCCCTCGGGTCTGGCCCCGGCTCCTCAGCCCAGCTCTCGAGGCGGCGCTGCGTCCTGACCCCCCGCCCAGCCTCCAGGGTGCCCCTCACCGCTGTGCTCCTCTGGGTGCCGGCGGCTGCTTCCTCTCAGGCCCCCCTGGCCGCCACACGCTGTCTGGGAGCACAGGCCCTGCAGGGAGCCCCAGGCCTTTGTGAGCAGCCAGGCCACGTGAGTGCACGGGGCACACCCCCAACGGGTCCCAAGAGACTCATATGCTCTTTTTAAGTTTCGCTGCTGCTTCTTGCTAGGGGCTTTTTCCTTTTTTTCCTGCCTTGCCTTGCCAGAGGCCGGTTATCTTGGCTCTGCATTTTGGAAATGGATCTGAATTCTGGAAAGGCCTCATGTCATTCGTTCAATATCACCTCTGGAAATAAACATGTAAACGAGCCGAGAAATACAGTCTGGGGTCACATACGGAGTGTGTAGCTGCTCAGGAAACCTTTTCCAAGGACCTCCTGCACCTGGCTCTGCGCCGCACATGGACCGGTGGCCCAGAGCTGCAGCCTCACCCCTGATCTTTGCGTTCTGCCATTTCAAAGATGAGGAAATCAAAGCTCAGAAATATTAAGTAACTTGCTCAAGGCCACACGAGTGACAAACATGGCTTGAGCAACTGCTGTCCTGCTGGGACAAGCGTGTGGCCTGCACACTAAGCGCCTGGCAGAGGAGCCACCAGTGGGGCCGGCTCTCTGCTCTCCCCGCCAGATGCCGAAGTCCCTGTCCACTTGCCGACGTTCTCGGGGCTGCCGCCTGCCCATGCTCCTCACCCCTGGTCTCTCCTGCTCACCTGTGAGATGCCCGGCAGAGAGCCTCGCACAGAGCGTGCCAGGGAGTGCTTATGGCCTGAGTGGCAGTCCTGTGTCACCTGCTCCCTGCAGCACACAGAACAGGGGGTCCCTTCCAGGAGCAAGGGGCCGGAGGCAGGAAGCAGCCTCCCAAGGAGCCCCAGGAGCCTCACACCACTGACAAGAGGGAGGCTGGGGGTTGCGACAGCCAACCAGAGGGACCCAAAACCTGACCACAGAATCTCCCTGTCCACCGACGGGGTGCCGCCAGTCAGGAATACAGCTGGCTTGGGCGGGGGTGGGAGGGGTCAGCCAGATGCCTCCTTCCACAGCTGAGGCAGCTGGGTGTGGGAGACGCTCCGGCCCTGCCTCAGAAGGGCTCTGGGGATCAGAGGGCGAGGCTGCCAGGAAGCAGTGGCAGGCAAGGCGAAGCACAGAGGCAGGGCTAGGGTTGAAGCTTGAGATGCTTGTGCTTTAATAGGGTCAGAGGAGCAAGAATATGAATTCCAAGGGCACAGAGGGCAGGCCACCAGGTGTGGCCTGGCCAGCCTAGGCCAGCTGGGCCCAGGTGCTGGTTTCTTGTCCAGGGGCTGGTGTACAGGAGGCAGCTGGAATCCAGGGACGGAGGCCTCTTGAGAGGAGGCACAGCAGGTGGCTAGAAGTCCATGGAGCTGTGGGCCAGGTAGTCCTTGCGGCCAATGTTGCTGACCTGCTTGGTCTGCATCGCCTCAAGTTTGGGGCAGTCGGTGATCCGATGGCCCAGACCCCCGCAGAAGGCACAGCCACGCTCTCCTGGGGGCACAGGGTACAGAGAGATAGGGGTCAGCATGGCGACAGGGCCAGGGTCCCCGCCCCAGGCCCTGCCCCCTCCCCTGCCGCTGTCCACCCATGTGAGGTATGGACTTGTTTCGTGGTTCCTGTCTCCCGTTCCGCAGTCACCTCCAATGTCCAGCATGGACTCGTCCCCGCAGTGCAGCACTTGGAGCACAGGTGGCACCTTCTGCTTGGCCTCCAGTAGCAGGGCTTTGAGGTCCATCAGCACCGACTCATCTGTGGGAACAGTGGGGAAATGTCAGGTCCAACCCTGGGCCCTGTGGCCAGGACCTAGAGAACTCGGCCGAGGCGGCCCTGGCAGCAGACTCACCGCAGGCCTTGTTGATGAAGGTGGTGGCGATGCCTGTGTTTCCTGAGCGGCCGGTGCGTCCGATCCTGTGCACTGCAGGGAGAGCAAACAGCCTCTGGCACACTGCCCGGGCCTGGGGCCCGGCCCGCGCCCCAGTCCTACCAGCTCCCACCGTAGTTCTCGATCTCCTCAGGCATGTCGTAATTGATGACGTGCTGGATGGCAGGGAAGTCCAGGCCCTTGGAGGCTACGTCTGTGGCCACTAGGACATCCTTCTTGCCCTCTCGGAATGCCTCGATAGCCTTGGTCCGCTCCTCCTGGTCTGGGGAGGGTCAGGTGGGCGCTGTCAGAGCGATAGCAGGAGTCCGGGGAGCGGTGGCAGGCCAGCCAAGCAGGGGAAGGGGTCAGGACAACAGGTCCTGCTACTGCGTGTGCACGCGCCACCGACCTTTGCCCCCATGGATGGCCACCGCCTCAACCCCCTTGAGCAGCAGATACTCATGGATGGCGTCCACATCTGCCTTCTTCTCCGCAAAGATGAGCACCTGTCCAGAAAGGCCAGCCTGTCCCGGGGACCGCCTCTGCCCAGCGTCCCCAGCCTCCCCCGTGTGCTGCCCCTATGGCCCTCGCCCCTGCCCCCGGGGTCCTGGGCCAGCCTGGCCAGCACTCACAGGTGGCGGTGTCTTCTGCAGGCACTCGAGCAGGTACACCATCTTGGCCTCCTCCTTCACATATTCCACCTCCTGCCACCACAGGGGCCAAGTCAGGTGGTCCCAAGGACGGGGCTCACCGGCCACGGCCCTGCTCACAGTCCTTGCCAGAAGGTGATCACAAGCCTCTTGCCACCAAGGGCTGGGCACCCTCAGAATGTTTCCTGCTAACAGTTGGGGCTTTGAATGAAGCCCCCAGTACCCTAAGGCGGAGCCCCCCCCTCCAATCAGCCTCGAGGGGGCCTCACCAGACCCGCCTCGGTGGCGGGCCTGCCCACCTGTATGACATCCAGGCTGGCGGCCCCAGCGCGCCCCACGTTGATCGTGACAGGCTTCACCAGGGCGCTCTTGGCAAAGTTCTGTATCTTCTTAGGCATGGTGGCGCTGAAGAGAAGGGTCTGTCGCTGGCCCTAAGGGAGGGGAGAGCTGGGGCTGAGGAGGCTGGGCAGCCCCGAGGGTGGCGGCAGCGCCCTGGCCAGGCAGGGACGGGCACCTTAAAGTAGGAAAAGATGGTGCGGATGTCGCCCTCGAAGCCCATGTCAATCATGCGGTCGGCCTCGTCCAGGGCCAGGTAGCGACAGATGTCTAGGCTGACCATCTTCTTTTGCAGTAGATCCATGAGGCGCCCAGGAGTGGCCACCATCATGTGCACACCACTGGGGACCAAAGAGCGACACTAAGGTCGGGGCCACCTTCTCGGCCCTGCTTAAAGGCCGGCACTGTGACCCCCCCCCCCCTTGCAGCCTTCTTCCTGTCTGTCCTCACCTGTGCCCTCCTCACCACTCCCCTCACCTCGCCCCGCGTACGGCCAACGTCTCTGCTGGAGCAGGCTGCGGCCTTCTTGACGAGCGCCCTCTGCGCTCCAGAGCTCTCCCCCTGCCTGGCACGCCCTTCCCCCTCCTCCCGGGTCATTCCTCTTGCCCCCCGGAGGGGGCTGTCCTGAAACTCCAGACTGGCCTCAGCTGGCACTCCCCCCGCTACCCCCGGAGACCCGGAAGGGCCTGCTTTCCAGATACGTGAAATTCAACTGCTCTGTGTCGGCATCTTCCCTGAGACTGGGAATGCCTATCAAACAGGGACTTGGTGTGACCTGACCGTGACCCTCAATAGCTGGTGATGTCCGCTGGGGATTGCACTGTGCGGCAAGGGCATGGGTACAGCCCTGCCCAAGTGCCTTAGCCTCCTTGCTGGACCACACGCTGAATGGCCGTAACCTTCGGGGACACCTTGGGTCCCCGCCTCTGTGCTTTGTGCCTGGAATGCCCTGACCCCCTGACCTCCCTGGTGCCTCTGTTCCATTTGCTGTGTCCCCACAGTCCCTCACCACATCCCCCTGTCCCACCCCAACCGACCTCTTCATGAGACTGGGGACTCCTTTGAATTAGGCCTCTGCAAGGGTCTGCAGAAGAGCTGAAACAAAGGACCCTTTAGCTTCTCTAGGGGCTGTGGGGAGGCCCTGGGGCGGGGGGCTCTCATGCTCACTGTCGGATGGTCTCCATCTGCTCTTTGACAGACATGCCCCCGATGCAGAGTGCGCAGCGCAGGAGCGGCGAGCTGTCCTCCTGCAGCAGGCGGCAGTAATACTCCAGGATGCCGTGCGTCTGCCGGGCCAGCTCTCGCTGCAGGTACAGGGGACGGGCTGGTACCGGGAGACAGCCTCGTCGGTGCCCTGCCCTCCGAGCCCGCCCAGCTTACCGAGGGGCAGATGATGAGTCCATAGGGCCCTTCACGCTTGGAGAAAGGTAACCTCTTCTCTTGTTCCAGGCAGAACATGATAACGGGCAAAGTGAACACCAGCGTCTTGCCCGAGCCCGTGAAGGCGATGCCTATCATGTCACGGCCGGACAGACTGTTGGCAGAGGACCGGCCTGCGTGTCAGGCTCGGCAGAGTACATACAGGGACTGCTTCTCCAGCGGGACATCTGCCCCGCCCGGCTGACCTCCTCAGGGCCCCGGGCCACACTTACATGGTGGGGATGCCCTGGATCTGAATGGGCGTCGGGTGGTGGATGCCCTTCTTCTTCAGGCCCCTCAGGATGGCTGTGGGAAACAACCCTGCGTCATCCACGTGCCTCACAGGTAAGTTACCAGCTCCAAAGCTTGTCAAACTGCCACTATTTCCCACAAGTTACAAATGATGAAACTGAGGCCCAAAACCAAGGAGAGAGGGAAAGGAAGACTTGATAGGCAGACCTGCTCCAAGCCCCTGGGCTGAGTGCAGGCGGGATTCACGCCCAGGCCTCTCTGAGGCCAGCCTCACCTGCCCAGCGAAGGTCCCTAATGGCACAGAAGGGTGAATACACTCAGCGGGCACAACTGAAAAGGAGCCCAAAGAAACCCCTCCTCCAATCCGTCCGTCCCCACTGGCTGTGCTGTAGCTGCTGAGCTCAGCGGGGGCTGGGACACAACGTCACAGATGTACGACTGTCCATGTGTGGTGCCCCGCCCATCCCTCCCGTACCTGCAGGAAATTTCATCTCCTTGAAGCTCTTGATGGGCGGTGGGATGCCATCCCCTTCCACCAGGATGTGGTGCTTCTTCCGCACCCGCTCATGCCGCTCTTCAGACATGCTCAGGACGTAACGGGGAGGCGTCCAACTGTGAGTGGGTGGTAGGGGTCAAGGCAGGCCCTGAGCAGAGCTGGCTCTGGCACGTCCCTGTAGTCTCAGCCACATACTATTCTAAGTAAGGGTGACTGCTTTTCCGGACTGTAAAGACGTACCTGGTTTTGATCGGGTCATCGTACGTGATTCCCTTAGCCATCTCTTTCACTGACATCAGGGCTGCGAAGAGAAACGCGGCTCAAGGCCCGCTTCTGCCTCCCTGAGGCCAGGCCCCGTGAGATACAACATGCCTGGGGCTGGGGGAGGAGGCTCAGCCCACCTCCTCCCTGCTCCCAGCTCCACCCATACCTCGGCCCTCAGCCACACTCTCCAGGATCTTCTCCTCTTCCTTCAGCTGCTTTTCCTTGGCTGACTCCTTACGGGCTGAGAACAAAGGCAGACGACGTCAGAGAGATGCCGAAGCAGTGGCCCAGGCCGAGCCTCCCGCTGCTGCGGAGCTTACCTTCAGCCTTCTCTTTCAGGTGCTGGTGCTGATCCAGGAGGCTGACGTTGGACTGAGGGCCCAGTGGGATGTCGTCCTCATCTCCCCGGTGGTCACTGCCACTGTCCTGCTGCTCCTCCTCCGCAGCTCCCTTGCGTCTTCGCTGCAGCAGCTTCTGGAGCTGAGGTTCCACCAGCGTCCCTCAGAGCCAAGCCCAGCACTGCGGGGCATGGCGCCCAGGATCCTGCCCCGACGTGCAGAGCTGCCCTATCCCTCGGATTAGGCCGCCAGTGCCTCGTGTGCCTGGGGGCCACGCTCCGGCGTAATGACACCTCACCCCGTCCCTCACACTATCAATGAGAAACCCCGCCCCCTGGGCTCATTCCTCCTGCGACCCCGGGCCCTCACCAGCAGCTGACGGCGCTGCCGCAAAGGCACATAGGGCACATAGTCCTCGTCGTCCTCATCCTCCGCCTCGGAGCGGCTCCCTGCGGCAGTCGCCTCGTCGGCACGAGCCCGCTGCAGAGACACAAGAGTCAAGCCCACCGCCCCTCCCCGTCTTCACTGCGGCTCGCCACCCGCGCGGACCCTATTTTCGCGCCCACCTTCCGCTCGGGTTCCGACTCCTCCATCCTTTTCTGTACGCATGCGCCCCACGGCAGAAAACCCCGCCTTACCTCTGAGATCCAACCAGATGTTAAGGAACGGCCGTCGGTGCCTAGCAACGACCTTTGAGTGCCGGGTCGCGCCGAGGGACAAACTTTTTCCCCGAGCCCCTGTCCATGGCGCGGCGTTAATGCTTTCTGTGTGGCTACGCAACTGATGCCTGGGCTGAAGAAAAGCGTCAGGCAAAGCATTGTGGGATGCTGGAGGATTTGGAGCATGCGCTAAACGCTCAAACCAAGCCCGGTGGCGGGGCAGGCGCCCCGAGTGAAGACCGCGGACGCAGCCAGGTGCCTAGCCTCGCTCACAGCGTGACGTCAGCCGGCGCACCCCCGCCGGTGGCCCTCTACGCCCTCTAGTGGTCTGGGAGCTCCGGGACCCGGCCAGTTGGGATCCTGCCCGGGTCTTCATCCCCGCAGGCCAAGGCGGGCAGGGTGCAGTTTGCGGAATAAATGACTCAAGCACCGCCGCTGTGACTCGTGTCCTCGTCTGAGACACTAACGTTCAGAGCAGTGTGGGGTAAATAAAATGCTGCTGACGGTGGTTTTTACTGAGGATCTGTACATACATACGTGTAAGTGGTTATTATCGGAAATGCTGTAACAGTTCAAAGGGAACCTGAGGCGGCTTCCAGGAGATGTGGAGTCTCTAAAGCAGGGAGTGGGGAGGAGAGGAAGGAAGGCCTCCTGGGAGAGGTCCAGCAGCAGTGGCCTAGCCTCGGGCAAGTGCTGGTTCCCAGGGAAGAGGAATCACTCGGCCCACATGGAGTCGGGTTGGCCAGAGCAAGGGTTGGAGAGGTAAATTGGGCCCAGAGCGGTGACTCAGTAAATTTGTCATTGGGGACCTTTAAGAGGGGAGTGATGGGTCAGTGCTGTCCTTTTGCTCTTCATGTATTTAACGAGCATGTGCTGGGCATTGGGCGATGCTGAAACAAATAAAAGAAGAGCAAGTCACAAACCTGGCTCGTGAGATTATGGATTTGCAGAGATAGAAAAATATAAACCAGTCTTGAGGTTAAGGAGAAGTACCAAAAGACATGATACCACTTTTGGAATTATCACAAAGGCAAGGCCAACTGATTCTCAGCATCAAAGTGGCTTCTCAACTGGGAAGTGAAGGATAAGCCAGAATTTGTGAAGGAAGCATATAATCTGGGAAGAGGGAAGTATGTGAGCAAAAGTCAGGAGATCTAAGGGTGCCAGGCCTAGCTGCAGACTGAGGCTGTAGGTGTGGCTGGCGTGAGTGTGGGAGGCAGCGAGCGGCAGGCACAAGAGCGCCCAGAATGCCACTCTCAGACGTCTTTTATTGGGAGGAAAAGTGCTGCTTCAATCACACCGGCAATTTTCCAACGAGGCTGTATACTAGACAGCTGTGCCAACTCAGCCGCAGGGCAGGAGGCTGGTGCAAGTTAGAGGGTGAGGGGAACACAAGTCATATACAGAAAGGGGTTTCACAGGGGCGTGTCCGTACTTCCTTGGGGATTGGGAAAGGCCAGGGGCCAGGAACTGCAACGCTGCTTCCCTTTAGAACAGGAAGCTGGCACTGCCTGCCAGCCATGGCGGGGCTCAGCCGAGTGGGGAGTGAGGTGGGAGGAGCGAGCGGTTTCTGATTCTGCTCCCAACACTCCACAAGGGATCTTAGTGACTGTGTCCACTGACTCCATCACTCCCCACATGCGCTCAAGCCAAGAGTTGTTTTTAGTTGAGAAAACACCAAGGGGGACAAGGAGCTGGGATACACATGTGTGGGGCATTTTTTGCAAATTTGTATTAAAATCTGACTTTACAAACCAGCTCTAACAGCTAGGGGCGGAGCAGGGGAGGAAGTAGTTTGCTTTAACTTGACAGAAGGGTTCATTATCCTCTTAAGTACTTAAGCTGTCTCATTCCCACTGGAAAGTAAGATACAATGTTTACAGACACTCCATCTGCTCCCACCCCCCCTGCCCCAGAGTACCCCGAACACCCAGGCTGCAGCTGCACTGCCCATCGAGGACCTCGAGCCTTCCCTGGGCCCCTTCTTGCACCTGCCTACAGACCAAGCTCCATTCCTCCGATTCACCCATCTCATGGCGGGCAGGGGGGTGTGGAACAGGCACGGTGTGGGGGGAAGGGCTGCTCCCACTTGAAGCCTCCCAACAGGAGGACGGGGCATCGAGACCACAGCCACGGAGGCCGGTGCTCTCCATCCCCAGTTAACCAGGCTGGACTCACTCCAGTCTTCCCTGTCTTGTCTTCAGTGTCATCTACGGAAGTCCCATTTAACAATTCCACTTCAACAGTTGCAATTAAGTGGAAACAATGCTGCCAAACCATTGATACCTAGTATATCAGTTAGGGACTAAAACAGACCTCATGCTTCTGATTACATCCCTCACCTCACCCCACCCCAGCCCAGCAAATGACCAACACAGACTCTGTGTCCAAATGTTGCTTTATCGCAGGAAAGATCTTCACAGTATCAAAAGTAAAGAATTAAAAAAATAAAATAAAACAAACAAAAACAAAAAAACAAACACAAAAAGAGCAGTGTTGGGCCAGCAGTACCATCAGCCCCCCGCCCACAGGCCAGCCCAGCCCCCGGGCTCTGAGTGTGGAGGCTGCGTAGCACCAGGAGGCGGCTCTGTGGGGGTCCTGAGGGGCCCCAGCCCGGCTCGGCATCCACTCAGCTTCCGGTTGGTCCGGGATGGCGGGAGCACGGTGGGTCTTGGGCAGGTGGGTGCGACGTGGAGGAGTAAGAAACTGTAGGCCTTCAGCTGGCAGGGGGGCGTCTCAGGACACCCTGAAGACGCTGGACCCGGCAGGGGCTGAGAAAACAGAAGGGCACGGCCACGGTGAGCGATGGCCTTCCCGTGCCGCTCCGGTCGCCAGGGTCCCCGCGGCGGCAGGGACGGCTGCCTCCTACTTTCGCTCCCACAGACTTCCCAGTCCCCTCCAGCAGAGGATGAAAGTTAAGACCCTAAGCAGCCAGAGCCCTGGCGTTCTATCCACACGTAAAACGTCACCCTAGACGGCAAGGAGGGCGGGGCCATCCCCCGGAGCTCCCCTCGCCCTGCCCAGCACACCCTTCCCAGCCAGCCCGAGGGAGCGCCCCGCCTCTGGCACGTGCTCTCCGGGCCGCAGGCGGGGGAGAGGCCACTGCTGCGCTCAGACACAGCCCCCGCTGGTCCCAAGTCTGTGCCAGCAGCACTACTTTCTCTAGCACTCAGGGCTCCCAGTCCTGCTCTGAGGGTAAAGGTCAAAGGAGATTGAGGGGAGGGAGCATCTCCTGTCCTGGGAAAGAGATCAGCCATAGAGCAAACATATGGCTGGAGGAGGCTGCCTGGATGACAGGGCAGCTGGGCCTGTGGGAGGAACGCCCCTTTTTCTCAGAAGGGGTAACACATGAAAGCGGGGCCCCCGTCACTGTGGCTCCAGTGGAGGTGGAAGACAGGCAGGAGGGTGCGCTGGCCCCGGCAGAAGCTCTCGGGGGCGTGGGTATCTCAGACTGGCAAAGAATCTGGGGCCCAGCCCCTCAGAGAGGCAAGGCTGAGGGAAGCCTAGACTCCAGGGTGGCTCCGGAGCTCAGCCCCAAAGGCTGTCCCTGGGGAGTGGAGACCAGTGTCAGAGGTGGGAGATTCTGACCCCAAATGGGAAGGCAGACTTGGCCAAGGACCCAGAAGTCTGCTGCCCTGGTGCTGGGAAGAGGACGACAGGCGAGGACACCCTCCTTGGGGGTCCCTGGGCTCAGCTCGCCTGCCCCAGCACGCTGCCGCCGCCGCCTGAAGGGCACCGTGCAGCTGCCGACCGGAAAAGGCCTGACCCCAGGGACACAGCTCAGGGCCGGGGTACAGCACTGAGCCAGCATCAGGGCCGGCCACCCGGCCAGCCCTCTGTCCTGCACGACGGCTCTCAGCCCAGAGCATCACTGGTCAACAGTTCACACAAAGGGACTGTGCAGATGGGCGGGAGGGGTGACCAAAGCCCAGCTGGCACCAGGTCTCTTCTTCCGGGAGGCAGCTTCGCTACCCATTTCCTCATGGAGCCTATCCTGTTGAGGGAGAGCGCCCACCAGCTGCTCCATGCCTAAATGACCTCTAAGGCCCTGGCCTAGCCTGCATGGAGGAGCCAGCCCAGCAAGTGAGGGTCAACCCGAGGCTGACAATGTCTGGGGCAGGGGCAGCCCGCTGGGGCCCCTGGCTGATAGGGCGGGGAGAGGCCCTTCAGGGGCACAGGCAGGCGGGATCACAGGCCGGCTCACGGGCGGGCCTGGCCAGGGACAGCGACGAAGGGGCAGAGGCCTGTGCCTCAGAGAGCAGGGCCCGCTGTGCTGTCACTGCGGAGGTGCAGGGGCCAGGACCCAAGCCCCCAGTCCAGCTCCCTGGGCACAGGCTGGCGGAGCACTGGGAGGGGAACACGTGACCCCTGGGTGTCTCTACCTCACTGAGCTGTGCTGGGAGTGGTTTTTTTGAGGCTGAAGTTGGTCCAGTTCACAGCAACTTTCTGACGTGTTTGCTTTGCAGAATCCAAACAGAACCTGCGTGGTTTGGGGGATGAGACAGGAGAAGCACCATCAGAGACTGCCCCCGCCTAGCGCACCCTCTCCTAGACCTGTGTCCTGGTCTCTACAGCCAGGCCAGCTCTGCACAAGCCCCCCAGCTCCTGGGTGCAGAGGGTCTCGCAGGTATGGGAGCTGTGCTGGCCGAGGGGCTATCTGGATGGGCACCTACAAGCCCACGGACAGTGTATGGAGGGAGGTGACATTGTCCTAGGACACGCCCCCTCCTCAGCCTGTGTTTTACTCTGGCCACACTGGGCTGCCTCCTGTTCCCCGAAGGGCACTGTGCCTCTCGCGCCCCCGGGCCCTGCGCATGCTGACCCCGCCGTCACGAGCACCTTTTGTTTGGCCTGGCCCGCTCCCTCCTGGTCCTCAGGTCTCCTCCTGGTCACCGTCTCCTCAGAGGGTCGCCCCTGCCCGCAGCTAGCCCTGCAGTCCCCCTTCACAGCCCCCGGCCCCACTCCCTCGTTCCCATTAACAGCCCCCACCCAGCCTGTGTGGCTCACCGCCCCCCAGGGCTCAGCCCAGGCAGAGCAGAGGGATCGCAGGGAATGAACCAGGTGGACGAAGAGGGAAAAAGCCCTGGTTCTTGGGGCCTGACACACACACCTCCTTCACGAAGCCCCTTCAACCTTCCCAGATGCCCTGTCCTGCCAAGCAGCTACCTGGGTTCCAGGATGTAGGCTGGCGGGGAAAAGCCCAGATGGGGCGGGGAGAGGCCCGGCAGTGGGCAGGACAGCGGGCGGCCCGTGCCTACCTCTTGAAGTACTCCACCTCCCGGTCCGTCTCGTCCATCTCCGCCCCGTCCGTGTCCTTGGGCAGGAACACGTCGTCTGGGAAGACACAGCCAGGGGGGCTCAGTGCCCACCGCCAGGCCTCTGGGCCGGCACTGCCCACACGCCGGGGCTGCCCTCCACCCCGTGAACCGGCGGGAGGGCGGGCGGGGGATCAGCCACTGTTCCTGGTGCACTCACCCAAGGAGGAGGCCGACTTCTCCTGCTTGTTGCGGCTCCGGCGGCTGCGGCCCTTGCCCTGCGGCAAGCTCTGCGGCCTTGCTGGGCCCGGGGGCTGCACAGACTCCTGTTGCGCAAGCCGTGCCTTGGCCTCCCCTGGCCAGTTTCGCCAGGAGCTGCCCTTCTCCTTGTCGGCTTTGGGGCTGCTGGCCCAGCCTGGTCCTGCCCGGCCCCCGCGGCCCCCCTCTCCGGCCTCAGCACAGCCGCCCACTTTGGGAGGCTCCACGGCCTTGCCTGGCTGCTTGGGGCTAGAGGCCTGGCCCTTAGCACCGGCAGCCTCCGGGCCGGCCGAGGGCCTGGGGGCTGGGCTCGCCTCGCTCTTCTTGGCTTGGCTGCCCTGTCTCTTGCCTTTCCGCAGCTTCCCACCCGAGGCTACGGGCTCAGGCAGCTCCTGCTTGCAACTAGGAGCCTCCTTTGGGCTTGGTTCCTCAGAGCTGGTGTTGCCTGGCTTGGGCGTTTTGACCCAGATCACCCGGGACAGGTTGGGCACGGTGTTGAGTCTCCTCACTAGCCCGTTCTCAGGGATGATACCGGGCGGGGGGCCCCTCACCTCTGTCCATGGCGGCTGGGGGCCTCTCATTTCTGCCCATGGTGGGGCTGACTCGCTTGGAGCTTGTAACGCGTGGTTTTGAGGGGAGCCCAAAGTCAAAGGGGACAGGTCGAGGTTGATGTCAGGCCGGTGCTCCGAGGAGCCGTTGAGGTTCGATGGGGGCAGACTGTGGGTCTCAGGCTCAGCAGCCCCCTCCTTTGAGAAGCCATTGCTGTCCACGCTGAGCTCACACACACTGAAGCTGGCACGGATGGAGTCCTTGACAGTGTTCTTGATTTCCCGCAGGCGGCTGCTCAGGAAGCTGTTGACCCGATCCAGCTCCTGGTCAGGCCACTCCAAAAGCCTTTCCCTGCCGGGCGCCAGCTCCCGGCTTCCAGAAACACCACGATTCACCTGCTTTAGAGCTTCTGCTGCCAACTGGGCCTTCTCCTTTTCCTGCCAATACAAGAGGCAGTTTCAGCAGGGGCCTGGCAGCTGCCAGGCACGACGTGACATCTGACACACCAGCCTGGGGCCCAGCTCTGCCACCAACTAGCTGGAGGCTGGCCCACCTGCCTGCCCCATAGGCGCAGTGACGGAGAGCAGTCGGACAGGTTCCGGCCCTGGGGCAGAGGCCGGCGGGCCCAGAGAACACGGCTTCCACCGCTGGTCCGCCCAGGGCCCCGTGTCGGTCCCGGGCCCGAGCAACCCACCTACTGGTTGAGTCTCAGTGGACTTGGCAAAAGGGGGACAATAATGCGGAGGGAAGACCGAAGTGGGACGCTTCGGGTGATGAAGGCGCTGCTGCAGAGGCAACCCCCCACCTCGGCGTCTGCAGGGGAAGAGTTGCGCCACCACACGGCTCCCCCAAGAACGTGGCGACTGTGGGGCTGCCGCGGTAGATCAGGTTGCTCTGGGGACGTGTGTCCTCCTGACGCCACATACAGGCACCACTGAAGGGGGCCACGTTCCACAGGCAGGCCGCCCGCCCACGCGCAGGAGGCCTCAGGCAACCAAGGCCACGCCGGCAGTGTGCCCTGTGGCAGACAACGGACAGCCACGTGGGAGCGCAGGGCGAGGTGTAAAAGCAGCCCCTTTGTCCAGGTGAGGCCTGGAAGGCTGGGCCTTGTCAATCAGCCGGACAGAGATCTGGAGACTGAAAAGGAAAGTCCGCGGACGGAGTCACCCCTCCCCTCTGCCCAGCCTCAAGGCGCCAGCAGGCCGAGGTGGCCTTTGCGGGAGACAGGGACAGAAGTCGCAGGCCTCCGGGAAGGGGGTCGTGGTGCCGGGCCAGGGGTTGGATGGCTCCCCCAATTTCACATATTTCCAGCTGACTGGGGACTGAAGGGCGAGGAAAAGGAAAGTGGGGAGAGAAAGGGCCTGCCACCACCTCAGAGTCTGCTTAAAAGAGGGTGACCCTGTGACCCAGCAGGCATATGCGTATTTAATCCTCATATTGTTTTGAATGGTGGCTCCACACTGATTAGGACCACAACCGTGGGACCTTGGACAAATCACTTTCTCTCTGAACCTTATTATCCACATTTGTAAATTTGGGAGAAAAACAACCTGCCTGTATCTAATAGAGTTGCTATGAGGACACACCTGAGACTGGGCGTGTGTCCTGTTCCCCAGAAACACGTCAGGCTGCGCCTTGGCACCCTGGTGCTCAGGTGAGGGAGCAGCTCCGTCTGGAGCAGCGTTCCCAGCTTTGTGCTGTGGGGTCAAGGCCATGGGCCGGGCGCCGAGGCCACGGGGACGCAGAGCACGGGAAGGCCTTCTCTTCGCGCCTCCCTTGCACCACGACACCCTTGCTTTTGTTAGAAACTGAGTTCCATGGAAGACTTCATTTGCAGAAGAGAGCTCTGCTGCTAAACAAAGATGCCTGGAAACTGGTATAGAGGCAGCAACACAGCACTGCATAGTTTAGTAGTGAGAAGGGGAACACACGGAAACACGTTTGCTGCCGGGCACCCCGAGCTTGGTACTTCCCACCAGTTGCCTCATTTATTCCTCACAACTACCCTGTTGCATCATTATCCTCAGTTTTCTGATGGGGAGACTCGACTTTGCAAGGAATAAGGAACTGGCACAAGGCTACAGGGCTACAGAGTGGCAGTCGAGACGGCACACCCAGCGGTGACCTGCAGAAGTTCTTGGGTTTCTCAATCCTGCCTGACAACTGTTTCATGGCCATCGACTTGGGGGCACGGGGCCGGCTCAGCGGAGACAGTCTCTGTTCGCTGACTTGCCTGTGCGGGGTTGGGGGGTAGACATACAAACAGGCTGCTTGATTCCGGGTGACAGTGACAAGAGCTGTAGGGAGGAAAGCCCCGGGTGCGGTGGGAACCCAGGCTGGGCCATCAGGCACGCTTCCCGGGGCAGGACCTCCCCGCGCATGACGGCTGAGGGGGTTATCCCAGAGAGAGTGGGACATGCGCTTTCCTGGTAGAGGAGCACGTGGAAAGGCTGCGAAATGGAAAAGCACAAAGTCTTTAGGGAATGACAACCACTGACAGGTACAGCTGGGGCCCAGATTTCTTTTGGGGAGTGGGGGCAGGCAGGAAGGCCAGGAGGGACAGACTGAGGTGGAGCTGGCCAGCTAAGCAGGGGCTAGACCATGAAGAGCCCTGCCGGCCACGCTCGAGTCTGTGTTCAGCCCTGAGGGCATCGTCCAGCCACTGAAGGCTTTTTGAGTGGTGGCATTGGGGGTGTGGGGGGTGGGGCGGGGAGCAGGGGATGGCTTGAGCTGCCTGGGACATAGCATGGCCAGGAGTCTCAGTGGTGGTTGGGGCGAGAGAGCGAGAGGAGTCATGAAACCACCCCGACAGCTACTATGCCGCTGTAGCAGCTACACTGACCAAACGCTCACTCTGCTGAACCTTCCCCACGCATCGCTCCATTTCATTCTTGCGACAAGCTGAGTTAGATTCTACTGTTATTCTCATTTTATGGATGAAGAAACTGAGGCTTGGAAGCTAAGTGATTTGCCCAAGGTCATACAGCAAGGGTGACAGAGCCAGGTTCCAAACTGAGGTCCAATTCCGAGGCCCGCTGCTCCCGATCGTCACGATGCATCCCTCCCAAGATGGCGCCCAGGTTCTGGTTCAGGCAGCTGGGTGGATGGCAGCACATCCAACTAGGCAGGCAACGGAGGAGGAGCAGGCCTCTTGGAGAAAGACAACAAGCTCAGTTTTGGATGTGCTGAGTCTGAGTGTCTGTGGAAGCTGTGAGGAGGTGCCTGGTACAGGAGTGGACATCAGCGTGACGTGCAGGGAGGAAACAGTGGCCGGACCAAACCCGAAGGCGACACTATCTAGACGGCTTGTCTTCCCCAGGGAGGCGTCCTCAAGGGGGAGGGTCGGGCACAGGAAGAGGGGCTCACAGAAGAGAAGCCAGAGGGGAAGGCGGGACATGTGGTGAACCTGGCTCTCCCACTGTCCTTCCCCTGTGTCTCCCAAGTGAGGGTGGAGGTGCCAAAGAAAACAATGTTTGAAAAGGACGACACACAAAAAGCGAGACGTCGCCTAGTGGACAAAGGAGATGGAACAGGAGAACATGACTTAGATTTGGCAAAAAAGAAGTCACTGGTGGCTCTCTGGGGGGTGGGGGTGGACGAGTTTGCAGGGAGACAGAAGAACTAAAGACAGTGAGCGCAGAAAACATTTGCAAGACATTTGTGATGAGAGGAAAGAGACAAGGGGGTGAGGCAGAGGCTGAGTGCTCAAGGGAGAGTTTGCTCTCATGGGAGAGCGGTGCACAGTGCGGCGTGGACGGGAATGGGCGGCACAGCGGCCGCAGGCTCAGGGCCGACGTCGACGGCAGCCTGGAGAGGCAGGGAGGACTGCACGGGCCTTAGCTGGGAAAAGCGGTACCTCGTCCTCATGACACGAAGAAAACTTTCAAGCGGCCCGGTAAGATGGTGAGAGAGTGCCTGTCCACTGGCCTCACTTGAACAGGAAGTAAGGTTATTTGCCAAAAAGTAGGGTGGGGGTGGGGGCAACCTGAAGGCAGAGAGGAATGGAGGCCTGACAAGGGGTGGGATGAAGCGCTGAGGAACAAGATGACCTGGGAGCTCCAGAGGCCTGCCAGGCAGCGCGGGGGCTCAGGAAGGCAGGCGGCCACGCAGCCGGGGTGCCACAGAGAGGCCCGATCTGCTGCTCTCCTGGAGGTGCAGAGGGGTGAGCCGGCTGGGGTCCAACCCAGGGCTGCAGTTTTCCTCAGTGGGCGTTAATGGGAGGGAGGTGGAGCAAGGAGTTGAGAGTATTGGTAAGAGCCTGAGTAACTGATCTTGCCTGGCCCGGGAAGAGGAGAAAGAGGTAGGCGACAGTCTTCAGTGCACAGAGAGGGGTGGCTGGGAGGCTGCGGGTGAAAGAGCCAGGGAGGAGCAGGGGAGAGTCAAGGTCTGGAAACAGGCTAAGGAGGCAGAAAGACACTTGGCTTTATTCGCCTCCCGGGGCGGGGCAGACGCGCACTCGGCTGGATGACTCCCGGGAAGGCTGTGCTTTCGGTGGACAGCCAAGCTCCAAGACCAGGGGGTAGGTGGAGGCACGCGGGGAGGAGGCTCACGCATGAACAGACAATGACCATGATCGTCTATCACATGACACTGCAACTGCCTGCTTCTGCTGTGTCCTGGCCTCTGCGCTGGGCCGGGCAGACGGTGGCTGCGCAGTACGCTGCTGAGCATAGATGGTGGACCCATGAGGTGTGCGAGGCACAGCAGGACCTGGGGGAAGGGACCTGAACAAGGATGCAAAAGAGGGCACCCCTGAGCTGAGCTCGGAAGGAAGTTGTCAGGAGGAGGACGGGAGAGAAAAGAGTGTTACTGGCGAAGGAGGAAGAATGCGCAGTGCATAGGTTTAGGGAAAGCACGTCAGGCCCGGGGCCTGCAAAGTGTGCTGGCTGAGACCAAGTGCCTGCAGAGGCCAGGAAGGGCCCAAGTGACCACTGCTCCCACTGGACACTTCTGGCCAGACAACGCTGGACGGGAGGAACAAAGTGCAGGCCACTTTCTGAAGGCAGTGGTGGGACCTCTTGGCTCACTGCTTCAGGGCGCAGGGTGAAAGTCCTGGTTTGTCCTTGGGGCTGAAAAAGGTGGAGAACCAGCGCTGCTCCCCAGAGCACGGAAGCTGTTTGACCACCCAGGACCTGGAGCGAGCTGGGCTCCAGACCCAGCCTCCCTGGCTGCTGGGCTCCCAAGTGTGGCACTGTGCGGACGCAGCTGGGGCCGGGCAGGCGAAGAGGTAATGAGGTGGCAGGGGACGAGCACCAAGCCCTGCAGCTCGCCTGGCATCAGGGCGGCTCGGGAAGGGCTCACTGGCCTGAGCCTGGATCACTCCCACAGCTCCAATTACATCTCCACATCGGCAACTCCTAGCCCCGCACCTCCATCTCCACCTGGTGTCTCGTGAGAACCGCTGAGGCACTGCGCCCCAGCGGAACTCCCGGCTTCTGCCGATCCCATCCTTGCTCAGGGGAAGGCATGCCATCCTGCCAGTCATCCCAGCAAACACCTGGGACACATCTTCAACTCCTTCATCTCCCTGTCCTATCGTCAGATCACTGAAGCCTGTCACTTTTGCTTCCTCTGAAAAGCCACCAATCCTGCTCCATCCCCACCTCAAACATCTCTGCCCTGGGTCTCGGCTTTCCAACCGGGAGCAGCGTCTTGCTGGGCGACCTTCCATGTCGCCACACAGTAATCATCTTGGAATACAGAATTGACCGAGTTTATTCTTTGATTAAAGCCCTCAGGGACGCCCCCTCAGCAGCAGGGTCACGGCAAAGCTCTTCAGCAGGGCCCGTGCGGCCCCCTCATCTCCACTGTCCGTACTGCCTCTCCCGTTTCAGCCCCGGACGCACCAGGCCACCGTGGCTGCGCCGTGCCCGCCGCCCGGAGGGCCCTCCTGGTGCACGTGCGCTCGCTCCCAAGCCAGCCTCCTGGTGTGGCCCTTTGCGGCCAGCCCAGGCGGGGCGGGGGCTTTCCTCATGCCTGTGCTTGTCACACACTAATGCGCTCGTCCAGTTTTGTGTCAGTCTCTCCACTGGACCGAGCTTCTCCAGGGCAACAACTTAAATGCTCAGGCTCCCAGTATTTACATGTTTTCTGAATGAATCAATCAATGACTGACCGACTGAAGCCGGTCCTGGGTGTGGAGGGACCCAGCAAGCTGCTTCTGCGGCCAGGACTCGTCTGTCCTCCGGTCACTGGCCCCCAGTCTCCCTGACCCTGATGCCTCCCAAACTCTCGCAGGCCTCCCAGACTCACTCGGACCTCCCAGGGCAGCGAGCCGTGCCAAAGTCTTTGGCAGCCAGCACCGTTCATCCCCCAGATGTCTTGGGGGCTGGGGCGAGGGACTCCTCGGGGAGAAGAGGCGGTAGAGCTGGGCTCCCCCCCCACACCCACCTTCTTTTTCAGCTTGTGCCGGGCCCGTTTGGCGGCCCTGGCGCTGTTGGGGACTTTGGGCTCCGTGCTGTTGATGAATTCCAGCAGTTCATCCACATCTCGGTGGTCCACGGCGGGCTCCCCAGGGATCCCGCCCAGGGCGCCCCCCTTCATAGGCAGCTCCTCTTTCCGCCTGGTCAGCCGCGAACGGAGCTTCTCTCGGATCTCGGTATAATTCCGACTCGTCGGGGCAGCGGGTGGCTGGGGGAGGGGAGGTGCTGACGTTACACCCTGGGCCTGGCAAGCCCGGAGCACTCCCACCCGCTGGCAGGGAACGTGTGGTGAGAAGCGACAACCGTTCTCTCTACCAGAGCCACGGAGGCCACACGGCTTCACCTCAGCCAGGCGGGAGCCAAGGCAGTGGTGGGCGGAGGGCGCTGGGAGCGCGCTGGCCCGGGAGCCAGGAAAGCAGGTTCGAGCCCAGGCGTCGTCACTGGGGAGATGGATGACCTTGGGCAGGTCACTGAGTCTGTGAGCCTCAATTCCGTCACCTCTAAAATGAGGGCGAGCCCTAGCTCAAAGGCGCCTGGCACCGTCACCGCTTCCATTTCTTCTGCCCTCGACTGCTCTCCCCTAGCCGGCGGCCCTTCCTCTTCGCCTCAGCGGACTCCCGAACCGCTTCCTCCCCCGTCCAGAGACAGCATGTACTCTGCTCTGTGCCTCCTTCCTGGCGCCGTCCGCGCTCGCGGCCTGTCCCTCGGCTGGCTCTCACGCCTGGGGCACTGAGAGCCTTGCTTCCGCTCTGCCTTCATCACGCACAAGCGTTCCCTTCCCTGTGATTACACACGTACACAAACTCATCAGAATCATAGCTTTCCTCTCTGCCATTTCCTTTCCTTTCGCCTAAAGAAAAAAAGTTAATCTTAAGAGAAACCATGAAAAGAGCAAAGGTAGCAAAATATTTAAAAATCCCTACCTCACCAGTTTGCTATGAGGATCAAGTGAGCGGACACAGGTGCAGACTCACAGGGTCCCAGGGCGGTTACTGTCCCCTCGAGCAAGGGGTCTCTGGGGAGAGCAGGCGCTCCTCTGGCTCACCTTGGCTGGCCCCCAGCCCTCTCTGGCCTGGGGAGGTTCACTCACCGCATTGTGGCCGAAGAACTCACAGTAGCAGCAGTCACAGAACTTCCCATCTCTCTGGTGGGTGGAGGACGAGGTGCAGGAGCTACGTTCTGAGCTGCTGTCCTCTTCCTCGCCCAGCCCCTCGTCTGCCTCGCAGGGCTGGGGCAGCTGGCAGGCCAGGCCGCTGTGTGTAAACTTGTGCCCCTTGCACCCCGGGTCTCTGCTGATGGGGAAGACAGAGAGCCCGCAGATGAGAGAGGGCAGTGGAGGAGCAGGCCGCAGCCGCAACCTGGGGAAGCAGCCCCACCGCCCATCAAGGCGGCCCGGCTGCGCCAGGGCCCCTCACAGGAACAGGGCCGACGCCCTCGCTGGCCCTCAGGGCCCAGCTCAAGGGCACTGTTCTGGAAAGGCCCGCCAGGCCCCCTCTGCCCACACGCACACGGCCCGCCAGGCCCCTGGCAGCAGGGCACGCGCCGCTCTCCACCCTTCGGTCCATCGCACGTCGCTGTGACAGTCTGCCTGCCTCAGGCCGACCATGCGCTCTCCCCAGGTAGGGACTACGCCACTTCTATTTTTGGGTCCCAGTGTGCAGCCTAACAACCTTGCACACAGTGGGTGCTTCGGAAGTAGGTGTCTGAACAGATTAGAGGTCTGATGGCTCCCCTGGAGCATCCAGAGGAGGGCAGCAGGGTCAGCCGCCAGCGGGCAGGGCTGCCTTTGGGGCTCTGAGGTTAGGAAGCAAACGTGCCCTGCAGGCCCCAGACTCTAAGAGCTACTCTCTGTGCAGGTACTATATTCAATGTATTCTTTCCTTAAAATTTTTTTTTCTTTAATTTTTCAAAGAAAATTAACTGATTGTTAATTCTGATTGTGGGGGACAGGGAAAGGGAGATGGGGAGAAAGGGAGAGATACCAATTTGTTGTCCCACTTACTTATACATTCATTGGTTGTTTCTTGTATGTGCCCCGACAGGGATTAAACCTGCAACCTTGGCATATCCGGGTGGCTCTCACCAACTGAGCTACCCGGCCAGGGCTCAACGTATTATTTCCAACCATTTCCAAGGCCTGCAAAACCGGCGTTGCTGTCCCCACCTTGCAGTGGCACAGGCAGGCTCAGAGTGCTTCACGGCTTTGCTCAAGGAGTAGTAGGACTCAGCCCATGTGTGCCCGCAAAGTCCACACTCTCCCACTGCGCTGCTGACTCCGGACTTGAGGAGGCACAGGGCATCTTGTCACATAGACTGGCATCAGCAGTGGGAGCCGCGGGGAGGGCGGGGCAGGAACCGTTACCAGTGTTGCTCAGAGAAACTCCATCCACACTGACCCCTCTCCATCCGTTACATCAGCAAAATTGCGGCGCCCCGAGCCCCCGTGAGCACAGAGACCAGCGCCTACGCACTGCGCTGCGGTGCTGTGAGGAGCTCTTTGGAAAGCCATTTTTCAGTGCATCAGAAACCCTTCTTAGCAAACAAAACAAACCTGAGAAAAGATATCCTGACATCCTTTCAAATGAGAACTTTTTTTCATTCTGAGGGATCTATTCCGAGGAGAAAAATCCAGTAGATGGGAAAAGCTTTAGCTTTCTAGGCAAAGCTTTTCAGCTTTTTTAGGCAAAGACACCTTTAGAGACATTATTTATAATATTGGAACAACCTAACTGTTCCGCAACTGGACAATGGCGAAGTGCACCTTGGAGAACATCCTCCCGCCTGTGAGGCTGCGGCTGGGAAGGCCACGCAGGAGCCTAACAGTGCTGAGTGGCGCCGCGGACCACACAGACAGTGCGCGGGAGAGGCGGGGCGAGGAAACAGCTGAGAGCCGTGGGGCTTCAGAGCGGGCAGCTACAAATGTGCAAGAAACACAGATCTGAACTACAACACGGAGAAGTGTCTACCGTCTCCCCAGAACTCTGCCTTTCAAATACGTAGCACTATGACCTTTCTCAGTAACAAGATTTCCTCTGGAATTCTACCTTAGGATATAATTCCTAACCCAAGCATAGATGTGGCTGCAACGATGCTTCGGACAGCCTTGCTTATGATGGTTAAAAACGGGATGCCTCACTGTCCAGGAATAAGGGAATGGATGAAGACAAATTATGCTAGAGCTATACCATGAGACACTGTGTGGCCACCGAAAGGTGTTTCGAAGAATTTTAACTGGGGAAATGGTCACGGTATAATGTTAAAAAAAATGTACACAAAATGTTCTACATGAAAATGTATGTAGAACAGGGACTTGCCCTGGGTGGGTGGCTCAGCTGGTTAGGATGCGTTGTCCCAATACGCCAAGCTGCAGGTCTGCTCTCTGGTCATGGCACGTGCAAGAATCAACCAATGAATGCATCAATAGGTAGAAGAGCAAATCAATGTTTCTCTCTCTTCCTTCCTGTCCCTCTCTAAAATCAATAAATAAAATTAAAAAAACAAATACAAAACCCCCCCAGGGACCTAATTATGTTACATACAGAAACATCAGGAAGACTATACTGCAGAATGAGAGGTTTATCTTTAGGTTGAGGACATTTTTTTCCTTAGACATTTCTGAATTTTTCCAAGTTCCAAAAAAAAAAAACCAAACCAACCCCAAACATGTATTTCTTTTAAAACTTTAAAAACTATGAAAAACATAAACTGAGCCTACCTACCCTTTAAATTCTACCCCAACAAATGCCTTTGCAAAGTTTTCCACAACCCCAGGCCCGAGCCCACGGGGAGCACGCCCTTCGGCCGCTCACTCACCTGTGAGTGCCAGAGAGCTGCTGCGGGCTGGGTGCCGGGAGCAGAGGCCCGCCGCAGTGCCCGCCGCAGTGCCCGCCGCAGGGGTGGCTGCACCCCGAGAAGGAAGGAGGCATCTTCAGGAGCGGCATGCTGGTGGAAGGCAGGTGGGGGCTCTGACATGCCCCTGGGGGGTGTGGCACGGTGGCAGCGGCAGCAGGGCATTCTGACGCCTGCGCGGGGAATGGCGCGGCGGGGGTGGGGGGCAGCAGGTGCGGGTGGGGTGGTGAGCCAAAGGATCCAGAGTGAGATGGGGTCAGCGACGCTGGCTGGGGGTGGTGGCCGGTGGGGCTGTTAGGCGGCGCAGTGAGGTCTGAGTGCCGGCGGTGCTCTGAGACGGGGAAAATCTCACCTGTGGGCACAGGAGGAGAAAGGCGTCAGCGCGGGAGCCCAGGCCCCAGGGAGGAAAGCCAGGGGCCCGCTGCCCCCGCACCCTGCGTCCTGGGATTTGGGCAGAGCCCCTCAGCACGGAGGGCCCGGGAGCTTCTGGGAGCGCCCGCCGGGGCTGGAGCGGCTTCTCTGCAGGCAGCGGCTCAGCTGGACAGGGCCGAGGACGAGGCCCCAGGAACGCCGGCGGCGCGGAAGGCCTCGCCCCTCTGCTGTGGCCCCGGCAGGGGAAGCGAGCCCGGCCTGCGGGGTCTCCCCAGGAGCAGCGGGCTGAGGCACTGCCGCTGGGCCCTGAGGGGCAGGCACGCCAGGCTTGCCGGTGGCCCTAGGTTTCAGAGAAGCAGGAAAAGGCCTTCATGACTCCCTTCGGTTTATGCATCAAAACAACTGGAACTATGTACTGCTCAACTCTCGGTAGAGGGGACAGCATCCCTCTGAAGACCTCAGTCCCCCCGCTTACAAGCAGACAGTGATTCCGTATGACACACGGCATCAATGAACTGCGATTCCTTCTTTCAGTCTCTCAGGGCCCCTCGCTCAGGGTCTAAGGAAGGTGTATGGGGCTGCGAAGCAGCCAGTGATCATGGCTGCTCCACTGGGAGACAGGGGTGTGTCTCTTGCCTTGCCCACCTCTTGTGGAGAGAAGTGCAGCCTTTTCTTCCTGCCCCTCAAGTGGAAAAAAAGAGGCCGAGGACCCCGGACGCCATCGGCGCTGCTGCAGGGGCAGGCCCTCGGGGCCCCAGCTCCTAGCTTCCAGAAGGCCCTCCCAGACCCCACCTTCTGTCCAACCAGTGCCCCGGGGCCCCCTTCCGGCTGCAGCACTGCTTTCAACTGCAGAGTCCTGGTGAAGGAGTGCCCCTCTGCTTCCACCACGGCAGCTCTCCATTTCCTTAATAACCGATCTTCTGGTTTGTTTGAACAAAGTGGTTTCGGAAAACACAGCTGCCTACATTCCCGAGGCCTGTGTGTCTTCTGAGCTCGGAGACTCACCGGGGACGGAAGGAGGACTCCCGAGCGAGCTGCCCGGCACGGCCCCGCTGGAGTGTGGGGAGTTCCAGAGGCCTGAGAGCTTATGCGCGGACAGGAACGAGCTGGGATCCCAGTCCCCTGAGTTCCCATGGCAGGATGAGGACGAGGACGAGGACGATGAAGAGGACGACGAAGAGGAATGAGAGTCACCGCCACAAGACTGAGATTTGCAGGATGTGTGTGACAAGGAGATCTGGAGAAAGGGAAGAACAGGCTCCTGATGAACCAGCACACGTCAGGGCAGACCCTCTGCTGCCTCAGCTTACCCGAGAGCCGGCTCCTCTAGGCCCCTCGCGGGGCCGGAGCTCGAGTCCCACCACGCCAGGCACGGGGCACATGCCGGGCCTCGGCTGGGAGGGGCCGTGCCACTCCCAGTGAGGTAACTGGGGGGTATGGATGCTGGAGAGGGACTGGGGGCGGGGGGGGGGGGCAGCGAGCAGAGAATGCCCGTCAGCTGCGGGCCTCTGGGAGTCCTGAGAACTGCCAAGGAGTGGAGGGTCTCTCAGTCGGGAGTCCTGAGGCTGAACTGACCCTGGGTGAGAGTGCGGTTGGAGGGCGCGAGAGAGGAGGAGGCCTGGCTGCTGCGACTCAGGGGGCGGCAGGCCCAGACGGCTCCCAGCGCCGTGGGGGCCTCCTAGGGCGCCCTGCAGGCCCTCAGACTGACCTTTGCCCTCTATGCCACACTGATTGGTGTTCAAGCTGCCACAGAGCCGAAGGCAGCCTGAAAGGCAGACGAAAGGGGCAGGGTCTCTGTCTACCAATCCTATGGGCCGGCGCGCACACTGTGCAGACTCTCCTCAGGCGCCAGGCGCTGCCGAAGCCTCTCTCTTCTTCCCCCACAAGTGAGCCCAAGCCACTACTGCTGTGTGCGTGCAGCCCAGCAGCCTGTTGGCCCCGGGCACTGCGGCGCCCGAGGAGAGCCACCTCAGAGGACAGGGACGCCCCAGCTCAACAGCCCGCCTCCGGGCGGCGGCCCCGCGGCACTCAGGGACCTCTTCACAGCGGTTACCTACCGCCACTGCGCGCTCGGGGCCTGTCTGCCTTTCATCTTCCTCCACGCTCCTGCGGCAGCTCTGGCAGACCCACAGAGGCATCTCGCCTAGGAGATTCTTGACGAGCTTTGGCATGAAGTCGGGGGGCAGCTTCTCACCCTGCAACACCAGTCCGTTTTGGGAAGGCCCCTCTTCCCAGCCTTTGCGCTCCCGATGACACAGCAGGCAGCGAGTCTGCACAGACTGGCGGGAGGTGTGGGGGACCTGTCCGACAGAGAGAGACAGGGTTTCCCGGGGGGAAGGCTCTGCTTACAAACAATATCCACAACAGTACTAGTGCCACTTATTATGTGCCATGCACTGGGTTAGGCCCTTTATATACACAATTTTAGCTCTTGTAACAGCTCTGCAAAGTAGGTGTTATTTTCCCATTTTTTAAAGATGAAGAAACAGATTTTAAAAAGTAAGTTGCCCAAGGTTACAGAGCTAGGAAGTGGTTGAACTAGAATTTAAATCTCAGTGAGGATGATTCCAGAGCTCGTGCTCAAATGCCCCAATGCCCCGATGTCTCCAAGTCTTGAAGGTTAAAGGGAAGATGGCCCTTCCTTCTCTGACATGTCCGGGAGAGGCCACAAGCCTTGGGCTATCTGTGCAGTTACAGACCAATCCCCCTCTGGAAAGAAAGTATTTCAGGTAACAGAGAGTGTGGGAGGACATGTGGGTTTCCTGAAGAGCTATGTAACTGCACTAGGACAAGGCAGCATTTTGGAAGAAGGGCTTGTATGGCCAGTCAAAAGGCATCGGCTGAACTGAAAACTGAGCTGGAGAGAAGGTAAGGCAGACCCTGGTGCTTCTGAGAAGCGAAAGGTGTGAAGAAAAGAACCCGGCTGCCCTGCCTGGTGTGACTCCATGGACTGAGCGCTGGCCTGCAGACTGAAAGTTCGCTGGTTTGATTCCCAGTCAGGGCACCTGTCTGGGTCGGGGGCGTGTGAGAGGCGGCTGACTGACTGATGTTTCTCTCCCTCTCTTTTCCCTCCCTTCCCCTCTCTCTAAAAATAAATAAACAAAATCTTAAGAACATGGGCTCTGGGGGCCAGACCGCCATGCACTCTGACCCCTGCCCGACCACATTATTAGCTGGGTGACCTTGAGCAAGTTGTTTCACCTCCCAGGCTCTAACCTCCTCCCCACCTCGCAGAGCTGTGAGGTTCGGTGCGCAAAGAGGGAAAGTGCCCAGCCCCGTGCGTACCCACAGCACAGACCCACTGCACAGTGATTGCTATTTGGACTTCTCTCCTTTTAGGAGAACCTCGACATATATGTATTTCTAGGTTTTCTTTCACATTGAGGGGTACTGACAAGGAGACTTACTGGACTTAATGACCCCAATTAATGGCTTCCCTACATCCTCCACCTTTGTACTCCCTCCCACCCCCACCTCTGACAGCGGGCTTGGTCATGTCCCTCTCACAGCCTACAGGGTGTTAGCAAATGCGCTGCCGGCACAGGCCTGAGAGCGAATGAACTTCTACTTGCTTCCTTGCATGGCCGGGCTTGCTCGTTCCTGCACCTCTGCCATGTCACGAGCGTGACCAGGCTAGCTGTTGGGGGGACGTGAGAGACGTGTGAAGAAAACTGAGTCTTTCTAGCTAATTGGCCGGCAGAGGAGATACCTGAGGAAGCACAGCTGAGATCAGCCAAGCCGGCCCCAATCGGCAGAAACACTCAGTCAACCCAGAGACTCAAAAGTAGTAATAAGTGGTGTTGTTTTAAGTCACTAAGCTTTTTTTGCAGGAGCGGGGAGGGGCATTATTACATGCAATAGTTAACTGATATACCTTCCAAACTGACCCATCACTAGCTAACAGGTGTTTGTAGAGGGCTAAGCAGAGGAATACTAAGGGTATCATCCTCATCTTACCAATAAAATGCCACCATCTTTTTTTGGACAAAATCATCTTTTCTCGGTAAGATGGCATCAGTGTATCCTTGAATTTGTCATATTACAATTACACTGACCTTGGTCCCTGATTTTTAGAGGTGATAAATGTCCAAACAGTAGTACCAGGAACATGTGGAAACATCTGGGGCAGTACAAGGGCCTTGGAAAAGTGCACCAGCAAAAGAGAGAAACGTAACATGTGGATCTCATATGAGATACTGAGAGTCTGCACGCTCTCTGCCAAGGGAACATTTCAGTGGGCAGGGCAGCTCAGTGGCAATTGCAAAAGGATACAGCCTCCTAGCCCTGGCCAGGGTGGCTCAGGCGACTGCAGGGCGGTCCCTTAAACCGAAAGGTGGTGGGTTCCATTCCTGGTCAGAGCACAGCTCTGTGGTGTGAGCTTGGTCCCCCGCTGGGGCATATGAGAGGCGACTGATCGGCGTTTCCCGTTTCGCTCCTTCTCTCCCTCCCTCCCTCCCCTTCCTCCTCTCCCTCCCTCCCTTCTCTAAAAATCAATAAGCATGTCCTCAGGTGAGGATTAAAAACAAAAACAAAAACAAAAACAAAAAGCCTCCTAGAACCCATGGAAACAGTGGAAGGTGGGTGGAGAAGAATTACGGTCAGAGAAGTTAAGGCAAAGGAGGCCTTTTTGCAAAGTGTACCCAGGAAACGTCCCATAGCTACAAGGTGCCATAGTAACCACAGGGGTGGGGGTGGTGAGGCCCACACTCATGTCCCTTTCCCTGTAATGACAGTGACCACAGTCTTAAAGCAAACTCCTGGACGTGCAATTTTACTACAATAGAGTTTCATTTCATTTGGATGTTAGAGTCTAAAGTTACTACATACGATGAAAACCTTTTATGAGTAGAATCATTCTTTAAATTCTTTATATAGCCTGTGAAGAACAGTGTATGTGTTTTAGGTACGACCAAGAATTCAAATGTACAATATACAGTATATGGCAATATGTGATGTGTTTTTTTCTATTTTCTTTTAAAAGCAAATACAGAATTCTTGTAAGTTAAATGTGCAGTCAGTATGACTGCATTTAGTGCCAGAGTACACGTGGGAAGCGCTAGGGTGCAGTGGAAACAAGACTGGCTTTGGCATTAATCCTGGACCTCTATCGCTTACCAGCTGTGTGATTTGAGGCAAGTTATACTCACCCCCTCGCCTCACCTGTAAAATGGGATTATGTCCCAACCTGTATGGTTGCCGTGAAGTCCAGTGTCAGGACCATAGTATATGTTGCTCAATATATGGTACCAATTACGCAAAGATTTTATTATTTACTTATTTGAGAGAGGGGAAGGGAGGAAGAAAGAGAGGAAGAGAATCATCGATGTGAGAAACATCGACCAGTTGCCTCTCGTAGGCTCCACAACCGGGGACCGGCCCGCAACTCAGGCCTGGGCCCTGACCAGGCATCAAACCAGTGACCTTTCAGGTGGTGGACAACGCCCAACCCACTGAGCCACACCACTCAGGGCAACATATGGCACTAACTACGAACCGGATGGGACTGACAGAAAACGGCATTCTAAGTCAGGCCTGCAGTGGGAAATACAGGCCATTGTATTTTACAAGAATGTAAGAATCTCTCATATGCAATGACTCTAATGTGACTTGTTAGATTTCTTAATCCATGAAATTATTAAGTTCCCCAAATATTCTCTGTACTCTCCTGCCTCATGCCTTTGCTAAAGGGGACTCTCAGCTTAAAATCCCCTTCCTTCCCATATTTATCAATAAGGAGCTGGGAAGGGCTTAAATGCCCAGCTTAAATCCAACCTCATCCAAGCTTTCCCCAAGAGTCCTCTTACAATTCTCCGCCTTCCCATACCCCACAGCACACCGCGCCTTGGTGTGCAGCATCTGTGCTTTCCACTGAACTTACCTACCTACATCGTTTGCCCCTTCTACTGGGCCGCGCGCCTAGAAGGCAAGCACCAGGTCGGAGCCGTGTCTCGCTCCCTCACACTTGCAGCACAGGGCCTAGGCGCCACTGGGCACGCAGTGGCTAAACCAGATTTGTTCAGTGTTCCCACGGCAACACCACTGGCAGGCGGCCTGGTGAGGCACTGCTTGAAATGATTGCTTCCCACAGAGAAAGGCCATCTCCCCACCCTGGACCTTCACCCAAATGGTTCCAGTCTTCACTGAGGAAGAGTGGAGGACTACATGTCTTGAAGATTACAACGGGATGCCTTCGTTGATGGAAATAAAGTTAAAGTGACTCTCCCTAGAGCCAAACTGGGACACACCATAAGTGAGATGAGCTGTCAACAGGAGTGAATTTACAGGACAGGCTGTCTTTCCAGTCGGAGGGAGAAACACAGGCGGGGAGGCCATCAGCTCCTACCCGCGGCAGAGACACCGCCCCCTGTAACACTGCACAGGGCTGCCCAGAGGATTAAGTGACTTTAGAGACGCAAAGCTTAGCTCAAAGGATCCACGCAGTAGACATTCATTCTATTACCTAGGCCCCTGGGCTGTTCTGTTCCTAATAAGTCTACACCAGAAACCAGCTTACCCCCTGACCTGAGTTTGGTACACGTGAGTTGTTTCCAGGCCCAGGCAGTTCTGGAAGCACCTCCCAAAGCTGTCTTCACCGTCAGCCTTGGCGCTGGCGCTGGCGGACAAAGCCTGGTGGGGACTGGGGACTTCTCTCTGTGACATTTCCATCTCTGCCTGCCTGAGGACCCTAAGTTGTAGAGATGTTATACTCAGTCACTGTCTCTTCACAGTTCTGCTTTGGCAGAGAAAAGCTCCTGGTTCAGAATTAATTCCTCTCACTGCAATCTCCGGCCATTTTCCAGTTTCCTGGCACTCACGACCCCTTTCGCCCTGAAGCCGACCCAGGCTTTGGGCTAGCTGTGCTCAAGCTGTGTGTTTGGCATCTGGCACAGCATTCCCACACAAAGAACATGATCAACAGATATTCCCAGAATGAACTAAACATCCAACCATTTTTCTTCCACACAAAGGTTGATAGAACTGATTCTTAAACCCAGCAGTTCTGGGCAGCAACTAATTATTCCTTCTCCCCTCAGTTTAAATCTCAGAGCCTCTCCAGACGCACGTCTAGACTTTGGCAACAAACGGAGGGGAAGGAAGGAGAGGTTCGAGGGGTTCTCTCAAGTAGGGATCTGCTCAAACAAGTTCCAAGATAATTCTGCTTCACTCTGAGCCAAACCAAAAGCCCCAGAGAGCGCGTGGGGTTGCTCACAGGGGACCTGTATTACAGCACGCACGTCCCCAGGCGGTCAAGGAACCAGGTGAGCCCTCACCGCCGCGGCCACTCCCAGAGCAGGGGCCT